CCACCGGGATCCTCTCGAAGACACCTCTAGCAGCGAGATAATGCCCGACCTCGGGACGGAGGTTTACGAGCATCGAGAGTAGCAGGAATTCTGAAATCGTGCGAGGCCCGCGTCGTTAATCCTACGCCGACCTCGTGTCCTCGATGAGAGATCAGAGGTCATAGGTCTCTTCTCACCGTGAAAAATCTCTCTCCGTGGGAGTGAGACGTCGCGATGCAGCTGAATGTAAAAAAAAAAGAAAAAAGAAAAAAGAAAAAACGAGGTTTGCGTAATCACCGAAGCGTCGCTGTACTTTTGAAGGATCGGTCGCGGAGGGACGCGAGTAACAAGTAACGAGTAGCGTGTCATATTCAGATAGAAATCGGTGAGTGGACCGGAAGGGAGGCTGGAGTAAAATTGATGGGCACCGTTGTCTGGTATTTATCGAATTATAGATTAATTGAGGGAAATAATCGAGGCTGGTGCATCGGCACAGAAAATCAAAGCTTTGTACGGTAGTGTAACAACGTTAGCTCGAGCATCGCGGCTCCACGGCTGGTTAATGGAGAATGGCCTACAGAGTGTGTGAATGCGTAGTTCAGGACTGACGTCGACTGTGGTCCAGCCTGGCTGATGGCAACTAGTGGCAACTCGCGCGGATGCGCGCGAACGGACGCGAATTCTCGTTAATCTACAGTAGGAAAGAGCCGCGCGCGTCAACGCGGAATTTGCCTATCCTCGGCCGTACATAATGCGAATCTCAGTCGCTCAGCTTCCCCCGAATTTCCCTGTTTATTCGAACGATCAGTGGCAGCCGAGAAATTTTGCTGAGAGGCACGTGGGGATGCTGTGGGTGAGGCGTAGGTGGCTGGTTAGGAGGGTGTAAGGAGGACTCATGGATCTATACAGTAGTGGTATATGTATACTACTATACTTCTACGCAGCTACGTACCTTTTTCCAAAAAAAAAAAAGAACACCCAGTTGCGGGTTACTGGCAGGCTCCGCTTCGCCTAGATTCCGCTTCGCTGTGCCATCTTGCTCCTTTCCTTTTCTTCCTATTCTTCGCTGCCGAGTCCTTCCCTCGCCTCCCCGTAGCATCGTCTCGTCCTCATACTCAGCCTTGTGAGAGGCTGGGTAGGCAGTCGCTTTAATTCGGGACACCTACGGCGCCTTTCTTACTCGGCAGATTAGGGTGGGTAGGCGGATTGAGTCAGGAGGAAGATAGCACACACTCACTCACTCACTCTCCTTCTGCCTCCCACTTCGGATCACTCGCCGAGAAAGGATAGGACGACATCGGGTGGGAGGAGGAGGCGCCCCCCCCTCCAGGCTCTAGGGGTTACAGGCCAAGGGGAAGGTTTTCTCGGTTGGTTAGAATATATGGAGCTATCCAGGATGCCGCTCACGTGCCTCTAACTGCCACGGTGTGTCTGTTCTCTACCCTCCTGCACATTGTGAGTTATATACTTTGGACCTATCACCTATACCATCCTATACCTATTCGCCAACCTTGCAACCTACCAACCTACCGACCTACGTACTTGCCTACTTACACGAACCTGAAGAACATACAGGACGTCGACGTAACTTCCCAAACGACTTCTTTGTTCTTCCCACGGCGTTTGGAATCGGTCCGATCGGATCGAGTCTCATCTGCAGGAATATCCCGATCCTCTTACTCCTAGGAAACATCTGGACCAATTGGAAATTAATCTCTAAACAGAGTCCAGCCATGCAGTGGCTCAAATCCGTATGACTCTCGAGCTCTTTGAAGGACGGATGAGAAAAAGTGGAATTGCTAGGCTGTGTAGGGAGGTAGGTGGGTGGTGCCGGAGGTACAGGCAGAGGGACTCGGAGGTTGGATCCGGAGAAGAATTAGGAGGATGAGAAGGAGGATGAGATTTCTGAGCGATAAGCGCAATCACCCGTAAGGAAACATCGATGGTGAGACTTATTCAAAGCATTACTCAAGCATCGCCCCGAGCCAGCATATCGATAGCCTCGCGGACCGAAACGAGCCGATATTTCTCCCGGACTCCTCCGCCTCCTCTTTTTTTCTATTTTCTCCTCTTCCTTCACTTAGCTCACGTGCTGCTCCTCCTATTCGTCCTCTACCGGTTCCTTCGTATCGCTCGATCGCCAGACGGAAGAAAGGGCCAAGTTATCTTCGGAATGACGAAAATCTTGTTCCCATCATTATTCAAGCAGCAGATTGCACGGTTTTGTCATCCAATGATTCCCACTCGTCAAACTTCCATCCACCTATAACCTATACGCGGTGCATAAATGCATATACATATAGGAAAGATGCATAATACATTGCTAGTATACAGAAGCGCAGATTTCATCTCGACTACACTCGATAGGAGGGTATCCGCAGCCGGTGCGAAATTTCAAACCTGTTTTATTCGCACCCCTTTTCAGAGGGACCGTCGACAAATTAATTTAGTGCGCCAGTAAAATAGTGCCAGCGTTACTTCGTCCTGCGGTTTATTAACGAAATGTAATTATATTATCGCCTGAAAAAACGTGACTCCGTTCCTCTTTCTTTCATCTCTGCCATTACCACTGTCCGCACCCTGATTCACTCACTCTCTCCCGTAGTTTCCACGAAGAGAAAGGAAAAAGAAGAAAAAAAAAAGGAACAGTGGCATCGTGCCCAGTGTACTCGCAAAATAGCGAACAAACGTTGCTTCCTATTCTCTCGATCTCTTCCCCCCTCCCCTCTCTCACCCCCCCCC